TTTCTTTGCTAGTGAGGTTATCAGAATTTGTCTAAACTCTAATTCTGAAAAATAAACCAGAGGTAGTAGTACAAATATTAATACCTACAGGCTTCTGAAACAATTTATTTTTTCTAAGAGTAGGAAGAATGACCAAGTAGATCTAATATTGTTATTTTTCACCCACAACTTCTTAGTTACAGGGATAAAGTAAATTACCTGGATGATTTGAATTTCTCTATGCTGAATCCTATTGTTGGAACTATATCTTGAGATTGAGCCTTTAAGAGAAAAGACAAAGTTTAGAAATTTGCAATTGCCAAAGTTGAATTTTTCCTCAAGTTAAATAAAGTGTTTGGATTTTCCACTTCTAAAATCTGCCACTAAGGACATGACAGGATTAAACAAAATTATCATTTTTTTCAATAGGATCACTGTGTATAAATTCCTTACAGAGGTTTAAGGTTTACTAATTATCAATCTGCATAATGTGCATGTCTTAATTAACATTTTGTGGCTTGTTGCAAGTTACTCAGGACTTACCATGTTTTAAGTGGTTTAATAAGTCACCTTTAGTTCACATGCAGGACTTTCTAATCTTTCAACACGTACTTATTGAGTTTATATATTTTCAAGACTGCCCTTATGTCTAGATGGTCCCTGCTCTTGTGGAGTTTATAATATAGAGGAAGTAAAGAACAATAAAAAACTAAGTAAAAAATGAACGCAATTTTGGACAGTGATAAATGCAAATAAAGGTAATTAAGGGCAGGAAGGGGTGGGAATGGTGGCATGGAAGAGGGTGCTCAGGAAAGGCTTTTCTGAGAAGGTGACATGTGACCCAGGAGTGAATGACAGGAAGGGGAAAAGCTATGACAAGTTCTTGGCAAAGAATCTTCCAGTCAGAGGAATCAGCGCAATGATCCTAAGGCAGGAAGGCACTTGTCACTCAGGAAAAGTAGAAAGCCTGAATGTCTACGGTATATTAAGTGAAAGAATGGTATGTTGAGGTAAGAGAGGCAGGGGCTTGAAGGCCC